TAATAATCAAGAACAATTTCTTTTTGCCATAATAATCAAGAAACAAATTGAACATCCAAAAAACAAAAAAAAAAAAAAAATCAATGTACTTGTAAAGTGTTACGGTACATTTGAGATTATTGTCAAGTACTCTGACTGTACCTTTGGTTATGATTATGTTATACTATAATTATTGTCGAAAGTTATTTTAATTTTTGATTATTTATCTCTTAAAACTTCCATGAGATCCTTGTATCTACCATTAACGAGTATGGGGAAGGGATCCCCACCCTTGCCAAAACTCATTGCCATCCCTATCTATCCATGAAAACACAACTAAAAAACTCTAAAATTAGGTTTCTAGTTCTATATAAAAAATTATTGTAGATTTGTTGTGGTTTTTTATAACTTTAAAAAAAAATTAATTCAAAAAAAAAATTATCAAATACATATATTTAAAAGCATTATATGACGACAAGGAAAAAACCCCAATTGCAATCCCAAATGCACCCTCATTCTTTTTGTAACATGCACATCCTTGATTGCATAATAGTACAAGCTATTGTCTTTTACTTCAAATTATTTAGGACTTTTTTGGTTAAGATTCAAAGTTAACTAGTTGCATGTTAACTTTAGGAATGTTGTATTAATTTATAGTGCACACATGTCTATTGGCATGTGCACTTGCTTTTCAGACTTAATTAGTGAAATGCATTAGAATCCTATACGAAGCCTTGCTTTTGGTTTTTAACTATTTTTCTTTGAACTTTCTTTTCTCATTTCACCAGACAAGAGAAAGAAGGGAGAAGGAGAGAATTCTACAACAAAGCAAAACGACAGGACCGAAAGAACTTGAAGGGTTTAATTTTTTGCAAGCCAAACGTGGCTACATTGCTTGTGTGCAAGTGTAGTCTTCCACATATATAAAATTAACATAGTTGCAGTAAAAATTCAGTTGGCTCTTAAATAAATATTCAATGAGAGCTTTAGAAAAATACTTGTTGAAAATTCTGAAAACTAGTGGGAGCTTAAATAAATTTTTTCAATAATATCAATAATTGCCAACTTAAGCCATGTGGGTGAAAATTGCAAATACTGACGTGGCTCATGTTACTTGCACTTTATGGCAGGATCACAACAAGTTAATGAAAATAATAACACCAATTTTTGAATAAATTGTGGTTCCCGTTATTTATTTATTTATTTATTTTTGAGAACATTCCCATTATTTCTGTATTCCCATTCACCACGATCATTATTCATTTAAAGGGTAAGTATTTTAAATATTTGAAATTTAAAAGTTTGATGATACTGTATTGTATCGTATTAGCAGATTTTTTTAAAATTTTAATGATTTAAAAATATGTAAAATATTAATTAAAATTAATTAAATTATATAATATAAAATTAATTAAAATTTTAAATTTTAAATTTTTGATAAAATACAGTGTAAAAATGGTGTTTCGGAAACACCCACAAACGAAGCTTTCATTTTTCCCCATTTTTATTTATTGCTTTCTTGTGGGTTCCCTACTAACCACTACTTAATTATGTACGTCTACCCCATTTCTTTTCAACATTTTCACTCTCCACTCTGCGTTTTCCACCTGGCCAGAACTCCAAAGGAAAGTAACTCTGTATTACAACTTAACTTCTTGAGATTACAAATTGATTTTGATGATTTGCGTCAAATATTGAGATAGATTTCCCTGATTTTGCTTGATTTCTTTCAATTTCAGTGCCTTTTGCTGAAACCCACTTGGGGTTTGACTGGCTTTCTTGGCCACAGATCTAGTACTTCAATCTTGACATCTTGAAACATCAAAGCAAGGGTCTTCTCTTTCTTTTTCTCTTTTGAGTCCAAGTTTGTTTTTTCATAATTTTCTTCTAATTCCTTTCTTTTGTAGATCCCCAACGATTCGAATCAAGCAGCAACAAAGAAAGCTTTAAAGTTCTAAAGGGATTCAGAAATTGATTGTGTTGTTTGTTTGTGGGGCTCGTAGCATTAACGGTGTGTGAAAGGGGGATTTTTGGGGTATTTGGTTTACTAGTTTTCCTGGGTTTTCTATTAATTTATTGGGTTATTAGAAAAATAACCTTTTTTTAAGAAGGGAAAAAAGAAAAATCAAGGATGCATTCATATTTTTAATAACTAAGTAATTAAACGTATCGATATTTTTAATATTAATATTTTTAATAATAATAAGATGTTTAATAATAATATATAATAAATTTAATAAAAAAATATTTTTCTTGATATTCATTATTTTCAAAGAATTTTGACTTTGAAAAAAATAATTTAATTGAACTTTAGATGACTTAGGGATTTTTTCACCAACCTACAAAAAGCTCTGCAACACTGGAGAACATTGATTTAGAATTGTTTGTTTAAGGTGGTACTTTTGTTTGGGAGACTGGTTGCCAAATATTTCAACATATATTCAATAAGACTCTACCAAATAATGACATGATGTTATATGTTAAAATTTAAATTGTTTGTGCCATTCAATTACTTAGTAGGGGGATTTATCTCTGTTTTGTGTTGAAGGTAATCGGATCTATCAACTATAGTTTTTTTTTTTTTTTTTTTTTGGGGTACATGGATCTATCAACTATAATTAATGAGTGAATTTGGCATTCTACCGTTATACATAATGAAAACATAAGATAATTAAGATTGTAAATAAAGATAAGTAGTGTACCTGTGAGTTTAGCAAACGGGAATTAATTGAAGAAATGGATGTCCATCACCAAATTAAAAGTAGCAGCCGATCAGCTTAAAAATTTCAAGCCTAGTTATTTCTAACCAGAGGGATGTAACGGATGTTTTCTGGAAGACAAACGTGATTTAGAATGATCAATTGGAGACACTTGTATATTTACTAGAAGTACTCAAAAAAGAGAATTCATCACATTATAAATTAATTAATTAGCTATGAATTAAATTCATAAAGGTAGGAAATTTGAAAATGAAAAATCTAACGGTATGCTCTAAAACAATTTAAAACTAACAAATATTCTAACTAGGAAGAAGATTCTTTGTTAATAAGGACATGCATCTATAAGAAAATTTAGATATTTTCATTTTACTCTCAAAGAGAACATAATTGAATCATAAGTGGCGATTTAAATGCTATACCTGTAGGCTTCATAAAGAAATTGCAGAAAATGGACCTGACTAATAATCGATTAACTAGCTAGGCAAAGAAAATTAGAAGTAGCAGCAAATGAGTTATAGACCAAGTGAGCCGGTGAAGGAGAGAAGGATGGAATTTGTACAAATTATAGCTGGAAATTTCCTGGAAGGTGCTTGGCAAATGCCAATGAAGTGAATCAGCAAAGACAATAAGAAAGGTGCAAATTTACTTTATTATTAAGTAATCAATAATATTTTAAAGGATTGGATCTAATTGTAAGCAGTGTGTTGTTTTGTAAATTAGGTTTAGAGTTAAAATCTTAAGATCAACATTTAAGAAAATTTATTTCTTTAAATATATTATATCAATATGGTGGGAGTGTATTTTAAAATAATTAAAGAAAATACGTGTTAAATTTTAGATATGTAAAAATTAATACAAAAATACGCTAACTGTAAATATAAAATAATAAAATAAAATAAAGTGATCAATAATTGTGCAACTGCTTCATATTATAACATATAAAACAGACTTCAACGGAAGACTAGAGTCCATGCATATAAAGCTAATTTCTTTTAATAAATTATATGCCGATTTATGATGGTGATCGATGTTTTTCAAAATGAAAAGCTATTTGCATTGAACTTTCCATGGCAGTGAAATGTGAACTGAAGAAAACCCTGCCCAAGGATAGATTAAAGACATAAATTCTATTGCTTAGGATACTGCATGTGTTGGGAATTAAAGTTCACTTCTCACTTTACAACTCTAAACCACCACAAATTTCCTGGAATATCCTTGGCAAGTGCCATTGAAATGAATCTGCAAAGACATGCGATAAAGTACTATAGTATAACAAGGACTTTAATTTGTGGAAGACAAGAGTCCAAGTCCATTCCATATTATTAACAGAAGAAAGGTTCAAGACAATAAGATAAAGCTGCAAAATTAGTTTATTATATAGAGATCAATAATTGTCCAACTGCTTCATATTATAACATATAAAACAGACTTAATGGAAGACTGGAGTCCATACTGTCCATACCGTATAAAGCAGGTTTCTTTTAATACATATAAGCTGATATATAATTTGATGGTGATCGATATTTTTCAAACTGAAAAGCTATTTGCGTTGAACTTTAATTTCCATGGCCGTGAAATGTGAACTGAAGAAAATCCTGTCCAAGGATAGATTAAAGACA